TGTTTGTGTGTGTGTAAGTGGGGGGGGGGGTGCGTGCGTGTTTGCCTCTTGACTCAAAAGGACTTTCTACATTTCCTCACAGAAATGGTCAGCTGGACATTCTGTACCATCTGATGTGGCTAAGGCAGGACGGACCCAAACCCACCGATGTGATGCGTAACATTCTCAACCCACAGTCGTACGCTGTGTCGCAGCTAGACCACACACTCGGCGCTTCCTCTCAACTGGCCTTCCAGCTGCACTGTGCGCTGGTTAGTTTAACCAACTGTAAGTCAACTCAGTGCAATGCAACGCCGAGTTTGAGTGTGCCTTGGGTAGCATATCCTGTTTGAGTTGACTCTGATTTTGGACGTGCGGCGTTTAGCTAATTACACAATTGCAGTACTTCCTGTTGTTGAATATGTACTGGTCAAGTTGGATGCAGCGTCTCTGTGTTTCATTATGAGTGGGCTGTGTTTTACAAGCACCGATCGTGAATCGGTTTGATTAATCGATGATGACGAATGTCATCGGTGTGTTGCTGTGTTCAACTGTCTCGATAAGCTCTGTACTCGCTGTACATCTTTTATACCGGCAGTTCAATCGTATTGTTGTAAAAAGCCGCCCGAGTCTTGTCTCACCAAAGGCTTAGACTTGTATTCATTGGGTTTTCGTAGTATCTCGTGGACCTTTCTACTTGCACTACCTTCACTGCGTAGCCTCTCTTCTTGCATCCGTGATACAACACAGCCACCAACGAAACATTAGGTTGTGATTATTCAGTGGTCGTTGCTCAGTATCACACCTTAAACTGGAAGTGGCATTCTTCAAGTTTTGTCACAGTTACTTTGAACACCTTACCTGCACTAACGTCATCTCTTACCCTCTCATTCCGATATGCACAGCCAACAATCAAACATTAGGATACGATCAATTAGTGGACGTTGCTCAGTATCACACCTTAATCCGCATTGTTGCTGGTGAACTCGAGATGATGGGCTTATGGCAGTGGGCAGTGTTTGTTCTGCTGCACATGCCTGGCTATGCTACGGACAACAGTGTGCATGATGACCTGGACCAGTATGTTTGCACGTATCTTGTGTCTCCACGTGGCGTTCTGTGGTACATAAACTCACATGTAAGTACCAACTTACAGTAACATTAGAAAAACATATGGACCGAGCCAAGCGTGATCTACTGCTCCTAGTATTATATTTTGCTCTGGTCAACTATAGATATTTTCATATATTTTTATATTTTTATACTTTTGTTTCAACACAATACAAAGTCTATAAACATATGAGTTGTTGTCATACACCTCCTACCCGACAAATTTAGGCGCCCAGCTCGTAGCATTGAAACAATGACTGAGCAATGTATAATAGCCTTGAATATTTTTCGGTGTCAAATTTATTATTTTCTATGGTACTGCATATTCATATAGTTCTGCTGAAACACGATCCAAAGTGTTTCAATCGCAGACGATCTTGACTAGCGTCTCTTCCAACAACCTCTGCCCCTCAACTCACAGCACTACTAGAAAACAAATGGACCGAGCAGTGCATGATCTATTGCACCGTAACATCGGAGACGGCGTCCAATCAGATCTCGTACAACCGGTAATGGAGAACATCCCGCAAGTGTGGGTGGACGAGGCATGGGCATTACAGGCGCACTACAATCAAGGTACGTCGTGAAGCGTCCGAGATGCAACATGCGGGTGTGATACGTTCACTCTAGGCCAGGCGTGCTGATTACTTGCACTCTCTCCAACACTCACATATCGACTTTTGAATTGTGGACTACAATGAAATCTGTCCACACCTATAGCCATCTACTAGTATCTAACCTCTGGCTATTCCCGTGCATACACCCAGACGTATACCAAGAAGCGCGCTACTATATCAAGATGGGGCCCTCGTGCGAGTTCCTGTCCAATCGTCCGGGCAACGCCACATATGACAGCATCGCTGTACGGATACAACAGCCATGGCTCAGTAATCCATTGTCACGATGTCTCGAGCTCATAAGCCTAGACTGCATCCCCGCAGCCGTGATAGAGCTGGATATGCAGTTGCAGGATGTCCTCACGAGGCTGCACGAGTGGGTGGAGCAGGAGAAGGGTATGTGTGGTAATAAGCTCACATTGGGCTATTGTCCACAGTCATTTTCACGCCCACACATGTCGTCACCGTTAACCACGGCCACTTTCCCTGACAGTCGCCCGCTCTAATGTCTACGGTCACTTGCTCGCTCACACATATGCCTTCCTATTCTCTACAGCCACTTCCCCGAACGCTACCTCTGTGGTACACGAGTGGCACCGAGTGGGTAGCGTATATCACTGGTACTTATGCGTAGTCAACCACCTAACCCACGACTGGGGCACCAAAGTCATCGCCAAAGCCCGAGAGTCTGGCAGCACCCAAGAGATGGCTGACTTGCAACGACAGTTGGCCACACGGCTGAAGCAGATTGCGGAACTTAACCTGAACCACCACACCAGGCACTACAGACACAATAACCACATGAACAATTGCAACAATGCGAGCGCTGACGATAGCCGGGCCATCAGGCAAGGGTGAGTGTTACATGGTTTGTGCGTATGTAAAGTAGAATATAGTTTTGTATAGCTATACGTTACTCAGGCACGGGCGAGTGTCACATGATAAGTTCATCTGTACATGAGAATACTTAATGTTTTATAACAGATTCTCATTCGGTAAAGCGTGTGGTACTCACGAACGAGAAAGTACACCATTTCGTAACTTTAGCATCGCCTCATAACAGGCTAAGCTCAAAACCGTAAACATCCAGTTTCACGTTATGTTGCGTCGTGTTGCGGGATATGCTAGGCCGCATGAAAACTCCTTGTTGCGGAGTTTATTATATTTGTCGGCATCGTACATGTCGGCGCATATGCCTCGTCTTGTCAGACCGAGCTTTATGCCTCTTTTTCTCACGCCATGACATATTACACAAACCCCACACTATAGCGTTGCTTAGCATCATCCACCCCGTACCACTTACTGCATGACGAATCTACCGTCTTTGTTTATTTGTCGAAGTGAGCTAGGTTGCGATACTCCCTCTACTTGCGGTGAGCTATACTCGCCTTTTCACTTCTGTACATATAGTATCACATAATATCGCCTCCTAGTCTGCTCCTAGGTATCAGATAAGCATCGTACTGAACCGTGGTCCTCACGCTTATTGTCTCGTATATACTACTTCATGCACCACATGTTTATTAGTCCCATTCACGTTCTCATGAGACACCTCCGACACCCATTTTACTATCAGCTACTATAATATTTACCGCTGATTTGACGATTCCATGAGACATCTCGCAGATTCATTATTTTATCAGATACTACAGTATACTTCCATTTTTCGTTTGTTTCCTTCTACTTCCTCATGAGACATATCTCAACCCCATTGTGCCCATATAGCAGCGCTTTCACATGTATTCAATTTGCATTCACGTTCTCATAAACTATCTTTCAACCCCATTCTGTTATCAGCGAGGCGTTACGGATTATGCTCACCCGCGCGGCTGACAGATATGAGGATCTCGCAGCTGAACTGCAAAGTGTATGTTGGTTGCTATGTTGGTTACTATGTTGTTGCTGGATCTTCGGAATATCTTCACATCGTAAATTAATACAAAGCGTCCCATTTGTACGCAGGCACAAGTGACTTGTCATTTCAGTGTTTATAACTGCTATTGCGCTCTGGAAGTTTCAATCTATGTATACACAGCAGAACGTTACAAAGGCATTATACATGCAGTGCTTGAGTCTCGTAGTCTTTTAGTGTGTGATGCGGAGGCATTTGTACTGTCGATCTTGCGTAAGCTGGATATGACTTGGTCTTGGGGGTTAGCCCGGCACTGCTCTCGATCTTGCACAAATTACCTTTTTTTTGTTGGTACAGCGTTCATTTCTTGGCACGCAAAGATTCGATTTGTAAATAAGTGATCAACGTTTTCCTTCGTACCTACTTCTAAATCACTAGCGCAGGGTGAACCATCTGATAAATGTCGTACTCCAATGTTACTAGCACATCTGCGTGTTGAGAAAGATAGATATATATATATATATATATATATATATCGCCTTTGGATTAATGACACACAGAATCGCCTCACTCTTTCAACAGCTTTGGAATACTCACCTTATCGCCTCTCTGCCAACAGCTTTGGAGGCAGATAGTTTCAAATATTTTTGATCAGAATACGTATTAAACCTAAACTGGTATATTTATAGTTATCTGTCTGACAATGATCATCTACGTTATCATCTTATTTACACTCGATTTTTCACTTTATCACAGGGCCCGCCACTCGAAGCAATAGTCCCTGCGGATGTATTGATACCTCTTGTCTCGGCTAATCGTGGAACGCGAATGGTGAATAGACTTATATCCCAGTACTTAGATGACTACGAGTGCTGACGTACGATCAGTGGCACCAGCAGATCATAAGACTACATCAGGAAGCAGGAGTCTACTTCAGTGATCCTCGACGTATTATCGTTTCATTCTAGGCAATCTGTAGTTAATAAAAGATCGAAACTACTTGTTAGAATACAAACACTTGACTAAGAAAAATAGCTACCTACGATGTATGCAGAACACTGCTACAAATGATTACAATATTGTAGTTATGTCGATGATACAATTAGCCGCTAGAATAGCTATAGTAAACATGTCGCAAAATCCCGATCTTGTATAGAAAAATAGCTACCTACGATGTATGCAGAACACTGCTACAAATGATTACAATATTGTAGTTATGTCGATGATACAATTAGCCGCTAGAATAGCTATAGTAAACATGTCGCAAAATCCCGATCTTGTATGTCTCGGCACCTGAGGGCCTAGGCGTAGTTGATACGTAATACACTCGTTTTATTTTGCCCTGCGGACTCAGAAATCTGACTTATGCGCGATTGCATCTAGCGACATTTACTATATCGCTCCGTGTAAATACGCTGAAACGGGCTGTCACGCAATTTCGGCAAAATATTACCATGCCACTTGCGTAGGTTCACGACCCTTTCCCTTAAATTCTCAAGTGCCTACATATCACCATTTTCCCTTTGTAATACCGATTTCCATCTAAATCTTTCTTGTTCTACGTATACGAGTATTCACACATGCATCCATACCACACTCGGTTCGTTGGGAATATATTCGCCACGGACCAAAATTTGTCCTCATGTCCTGCATCAGCGTACGTCTCTGCATCACAAGCGTTCGAATATTGTCACATGGTGGTCTACCGACGCTTCGCACCCCTCACATCTAAACAAGAGCATATATATTGTAACAAATAAACCATGTGGTATGTTTAGCGATCACTTCAAATGTCCGTAGCCGTACGCATATCATTCAGACATTTCAATCGACAGGGAAAACATACCGCTCGCATATTGGTCTGAAGTAGTATTTAGAAACCCTGACGCTAGCATATCTTAAAAATGTCGAGCATTGTTCAGGCAACAATCGAACTTTAAAAGTAGGGAGTGCTCAACGAAGTTCCTGTGGTATGTACTTTATTCTATGCTGTTTGTCACAAAGTTCAGAGATATGCAATTAGATTAAATACGGGGCGCACGATGATATCACGAGAACGCGGCTTGTTCTTCCTGTATTACACTATCCAAGACGGCCAATACTTTTGCGTATTGGTCCCCGGCCAAAATCTTAAGTTGAGTGTTTGTGTTCTCAATGTAATCTTCGTGTACAGGCATGGGCTTTTCGTCCTCGGGTCTCGTTTCAGAACTCCGACGGCCGTATGCTCGAAAACTGTAAGTTTTATGCACAAATACTCCGTCAAACGACACGCGACGCGGACTGCCTTTTTCACGTTCTGATTGTGAGTTCTGTATTTCCTTAGTACTGTTCGCGTGTACGAACAGTAGAATCAGATAAACACCTTTTGGTTACCTTTCTGGGGTGTTGTCTATTATGAAGCTGTGTTATCGTTAAACCCACCGACTGCGTTCTGTGTGTGGGTAAACTTGAGCACGGCAACTCCGATACCGCGCAACAATTATTTTTTGCCTTTGAACCAATTTGAGCAGAAATAGCAAAGTCTCTCTGGTCAGAAGCTCGCACAGGAGCAGTCTTCACGTTCTCGGTGGACTTCCGCGACAAGGGAGAGGGCTCGTGCCAGTCAAAGGATCCTGCACGACCAAATGAGAGTGGTGACGGCTTATCCTCGCAAATAGTGGACGCGAGTGAATGCACTGATTTAGTTACGTGGGTAAGCGGGGATCTTCCAGTACCGGGTGGGTAATGAATGATGAGTGGCGAGTCCAGCGAAGGCGCTGACTGAGCAGCACATGGAGCCGAAGCAGGTTTTATGCTGAATCCCTCCGGGAAGAGAGCCGAGTTATTACGGCAGTTATGTCCAATAGCTCCGGCACAGTCGTTTGCCATCATTATCTGTCGGTGATGATATTTGTCCTCCCACCTACCAACGAGTTTCGATGTCAGTAGTAAGTTAAAATCATTTGGGTGGGCGACCATTGAAAAATCGAGACTCCCCATCCAAATCAGCCCGTTGTCAGAGTCGCCTAACTGTCCACTTTCTTGAGAAGCCGTTGTTGTCAGATCGATCATTTTGCTGCAACTTCCAATAGTCCGCTGATTCTGCGTCAAATTATGATTCCTACTGCTATACTCATCACTGGTCCGACATATTTTCCTTAGTGTTTTAAGTATAGCCATGATCAGTTCGTTTAAATTGAATATTGATGTAGCTTCGAGAATTGATGTACTTATATAGCTTTATAAAATAGTCGAATACTGTCCAGCTTGCTGTGTAATTCAAAATCAATAGATGGGGTTTTGCCGACATGCCTCGTGATGCGTAGGCAAAGGCGCAAAATGTTAAACCTAGAGAACTTCAAAAGACAACAAATCTCGCGTATTTTTATATAAAAAATACACTCTCGACTCTCGAGCTTGTTCGTTGTTTCCCTTGCAAATAATGAAAGAGAGCTAAACCAGCCAGAGCCGAGAGGCCAATCAAATCTGCAGCTGCACTTGCGGAATCTGGAGCGCTCAGCGCTGAACGCTCAACGTAGGTTCCTGGCAGAATCCTGGAGCCCTGGAATGACCGAATGAGGAATCACTGAATCAGTATTATCAGTCATCAGTAAATATATCACTTGCAGTATTCACTAATCAGTAATCACAGAATCACTTAATCAGGAATTCCGAATCCGGAATCCAGAGTCGAATCCTAAACAGTAAACTAGAGAAAACTCTGTGAAACATATTTAAAAAACTTAAAAGTCTCTTATCTCGGTTACTCCTCTCGGACTCGGCCTCTCGGGACTCGGGCCCTCTAACCCCTAAACCCTAATCGACGGCTTGACGGGTGACCAGTCATGACTCATGACTCATGAGTTTCAAGTTTGAAGGCCCTGGCGGCTGGCCCCTGGGAGGCTGGGACCCGGAGGGCTGAGACTCTGAGACCTGAGACCTGAGACCTCTAAATACACACATATTTACATTTTTTCGCCATTCTCTACATCCATCTCTATATATTGTTTTCAAAAGTAAATATGTAATAATAGACTATGACTATCTAATCTGTTATACTTATCAATGTATGTACTAAAATCTATATACATATGTAGTCGTAGATTGTTGTAGAGTGTATTAAGAGGAGTGTCTAGAGAGAGAGTAAATACAGAATATAAATAAATAAAACTATGCCACAAATACACAACTAAACCCTAAAACTCTAATGTTCCCTGTCACCCACTGACACCCTCGACCACAGCCCACAGGTCATGGACCACAGACCACAGTTCAGTGGTTGCACTTGTTGTGTGTGGGGCCGTGGCCGCTTCCCAGTCCCCACTTCTGAAGTTCTTGAGACTGAGAGATTTTTTCTCGGACTACTCAGTTCTGACTTCACACTTTTCAGTTTTCACTTCTCACTTTTCACTTTTGACTTCAGAGTTCCGAGTTTCAGTTCTAAACTCTCAGTTCTCAGTACAGTTCAGGCTGGAAGACTTCCCGCTTCCCACTTGCCACTTGCCACTGCAGACTCTGGCAGACTCCATCGCTCAGGGACTGTCTTACCGGGTTCAGAATTTATCTGGCAATCTGGCAATCGGTGTGTGAATGTTTTGTGCGATTCTTCAGTCTGTGTCTGTGACCTGTGAGGCTGTGAGTGACCTAAGACTTCAGACCCCAGAGGCTAAAACCTGTGCAGGCTGTGACCTGACCTCGACCTGTGACCTGTGCAGGCTGTGACCAGACCTCAGACCTGTAATTTGTCAGGCTGTGACCTGTAGGCTGTGCGGCTGTGAGGCTGTGGGGCTGTGCGTGCGCTGCGCCCTGGGATTGTGACATGACTGTGTGCACTGTGCAGTTTGTGACCAATCGGGATTCAGTAAGTATTTGCAATTTATTCCTAGAAAGCGACCTTTCACCTTTGGCCCTTGGGTGCCGGACTGCCGAGTGTCGCCTACCGAGTGCCGCCTGCCAGGCGGCCAGTCGTCAGTCGTGGCCTGCCTGATGCCTCGGGAGTCGGCTGGGAATCTCGGATCTGTTTACTACCTACTCAACACCGAGTCACAATGCAAATTGTCAATGAAGTTCAAAAATTGGCCGCCGGCACTCCCCGGCAGGCAATACATTTGTACATAGTTAGGTTACACACATTGATTTACTCTGGATGTGCAATAGAGTAAGCTTACTCTGATACATGCGACAAATAAAAGTATAAAGTTTTGAGCCTGTATAATGTTTTGTGAAACAACAGATAAAAATAGTAGCGGGTAGCCCCCACCGCATCGCCAATAACCACACTGGTCTGTTCCATAATAGTATTTACTATCATTGATATCCGGCATGCTATGTCTTTCTGAGCTCCGCAAACAAACGACAAATGGATGCCTTTTTTCTTACGGCGACATGTCGTTGTTGTATACATAAGTGCCAGGCCAGCAGAAACTCCTGTGTCCCTGACTATTTGCTTTTAAAAGGCCTCGCTCAATGTCAAGTGCGATACTGCCTTTTAGTGTGTGATCCGATCATTCCCTTTTTTAGTCAACGACGACACTGACAACCCCACCGCATCACCACACAGATCTGTTGATAGTAATATGACTATCACTGCCATCCGACATGCTACGCCTTTTGCGAGCTTTCCGCAAACAGACGACAAATAAATGCTTTATTTTATGGCGACATGTCACATACCAGGCCAGCCAAAACTATGGTGTCCCTGACCATTTATTTCAAGTCTCGTTTAATTTCAAGTGCATGCTGCCTCTTTATATTATTTTTTGAAATCTTCGAATTGAGTGTGATCCGATCATTCCCTTCTTAGTATACGACAGCACTGACAACACGACACTCATTGTATCTCTACAGCCAGGTGTACAGGTCTAGACTATGGATATACATGTGACGATTCAATCTACTGTTTTCCGAGCGTGACTTTTTTGCATGTCATGGACAAGGATAAGATGATCCGCATTGAGATACCTCGTCAATAATACTATAAAATGCATTAATTAACATTGTAGTATGTAATGTCAAGCTTCGATTGAACGAGTCTTCAAAATAGAACTCAGTCATAGAAAGAAACTCTTAAGTATCGCGATTGCATTCTCTCACAACAGAAATAGTGTCAGAATAGCCGATATCAGTGAATGAGATTAGCGTTTTTATGGTTCCTACAACAATCTACTATTGTTCTGTACCCTTCTCAAGAGTCTACACAAGAACTCATCCCATACATCAGGCATATAATTCCTTGCAATATTAAATCTTGACGCATGAACGCCCTTAAACCATATCCATATTTAGGCTTAAAAACTCTTTTCCTCGATGAAGGTATTGAACAAAGCCAGAGCCGCTTCCGGTTGGTCCAGCGGAACCATATGTCTGTAAAAATAGAATACAGTGTGTGGCGTAAGAAACGTATCTTCAGTTATCTGAATTTAAACTATATCAGCGCCACTTCGCAACAATAAGATCACACCACATGAAGAAGATCTTTGGAACGAGGCAGCCCGCTCTAAACCGAGAAGCGATTCGTAGATATTGATCTTAAGGGTTTGCGCAACTTACCCAGAATCATGCACGGTTAGGAAAGTGAAGATGTCGAAGTTTTTCACGATGCCAGCCTCCTTCCCGGCAACAATGAAAGGGCGATCGACAGCGGCGTTCATACCAGCCTGTAGACGAATGGAGACATTGTAAAATTAGTCCATCTCGCACTATCAGCATTAGTTTTTCAGTTAATATGAAGGCGTCATGTGAAACATAAAGCATACAACCTGACCCACCTTTCCGTGCCATGAGAGAGCGTCCACCCACGCCCTGTTACCCATCCAATTGCAGATATAATCGGCCTCTCCTGCATACACAAGCACTCGAATGCCTTCTTCCAACAGTAGGGTAACATTAGAAGCATAACTCGCCATCCTGTCAAACATGAACAGCTTCTCGAACTTGGGGGAGCATGGCTCCCAATCGAGTTCAGTCTCGACACCCAAACATTCACGAATATAGTCGTTATTCAGGTACTCGTTCACGGCCTGTAGACGAGGTAAATTACAAATTGAGTACAGAGTTCGTTAAGTTTGTTACTAAGTTGGCTAGAAGTTAAATGCAAATGACGACAATTGAACCGAAATACTTACCGAAAAATCGTAGCAGAGTGGCTTGATAGTACCTGATAATGTGAGGAATACAAATATTTTAATGAGCCTTCATGCGGAATAAATAATGCTGAATTGACGACAACTCAAGATCTACTTACATTTTTCTCGCACATCGTACTGATTGTAGTTTGCTTCATGGATAGGGCCCATTGATCCCCCTGCGCACACTCCTAGAGTCTTCTCGCAGTCAGCGGGGTTGCTACCTCTCTGAACATGGATGCGCCGAGTATAGTAAAAGTATGTTGTTATTAGTAGCTGTATACGTGATATGAAAGGTCAATGCACAAAGGAGAGCTACATGGCAGAAGGTACTACGCAACATCCTCACCTTGCAGACCCCGGTACTTATTTGCTTCAGGCATTCTTCAGAAGTTTTCTTCATATTCTCGTATGTGGTTTCATTGACAAGCCTGTTGTACGAGTTGTATTTGGCGTACTCTGCGTACTGTGGCTCCTGCATCTCAGGGTCCACCATACCGTTTCCGATTCCAATACCCTTGAGGTTGATATCGGGATCAGACTTTATTTCGATGTTGTTCTTCTGAATCAATGACGATACAGCCGGCACGTAGTGACCACCATAGCTGTGTATCCGAGGCCGTATGGTGGCGTTACCAAGAAAAAAAAAGACAGTAAGTAGAGCGAGTAGAATACATGAGAAGAAGACTGAAGACAACAGTTCAATGGTCGTGCCTCAACTAAGTGGAAACATTGTCAACTTACGATTCTCCAAAGACGTAGAAGTCGTTATCGCGCAGATTGGGGTTGGCGTTAAAAAATGCTTGCAAGAATGAATACATTTCAGGTGCTACGTCCCATTCACCAGTGTCGTTCACAGGGCCCGTGCTGAAGCCTGAAGGTATCGGATCGAAGCAAAAATAAAAATAAAAATAAAACCCCCATCGGATTCACGGTGACATCATTGGCGATACACCCAAACGAAAATTCATGACGAAGATGCATGGTAAATCTTGGCATGTCTAGGCCGTCACTGAGAACAGTTTTGACTTCAGAACACCAACGAAGGTCTACGTATTAAACAAGACGTATAAAACATGTGAGAATTTGTTCAACGACCAACCGCATACATCTCATAACAGAAACGTTGTGCCAGTATACATGTACACGAAAAATTAAAAACAGGTGGGTGGCTCCAGCATAACCGCATTGTTGGTGTAATACGAATAATCGGACACATTCAGCACAAAGTATCTTGCATCTACACTTGTTTTGGGATTTTTCAAGATATCGGAAGGTGTCTATGTGATAGCCCCAACCTCCATTTGGCTCGATTGGAAACCATCTGGATGAAATCCATAGAAGTTGCAAATTTACGAAAAATGCAAATTAAACAACTAACTTTCACTGTCTGTGCAACAACATACCAACTCCTGCAGGTTGATCGATATAGATCATATTTGCTCTCATGTTCCATGAGTAGGGATTAGGGCGTGTTGTTTTCCTGTCGTCGTTGATCTGACAGGGTCCGTTCTCCATGAACAAGGCGATCTGGGAACTGCAACCGGGACCGCCTACAAAATTGAGGATAATGATGAAAACAAAAATAAGCCAATGGCGTACGCGCCGGTGTTTATAGATAAACCATTAAAGGCAGCTTGATGAAATACGCAACGAAGGTACCACAGTCGATGATTGTGAGAGGTTCAACTGACGAAGTGACATGTTCGATGAAATAGAGCCCAAATTGAGTTGAATAACAGCAGAGGTGCGCTAATACACGATCTACGTCAGCAGCAACCACATAAACACATCTTGTGCAATCTTAACAATGAGTATTTTCTGCAGTGTGCTGGATTTAATTAAGCTGGCAGCACATCTATTAATTTAATGACTCGAAAATAATTGGTGGCGGAATCCATTCTGTCAGCTCGAGCATACCTCGACTGTTCCGTTTAGTATGAAAAGGTATATACATACATATCTAGAGTCTACCGAGCATTAAGCACAATATTTTGGGTAAGTAACGAAACAGAGATCACGTTGCTATAGCAAGAATTGACAATTACGTAACGATAATACTTCCGCAAACGTATAACGCGACCTTACACGAACCTACCGGTCATCCAAAGCACCACGGGATCATTCTCAGGATCGTTTCTGCTCTCGAAAGCCCAGTACCAGTACTTCTTGTTCTTAGTGGCAGGGTAGTAGCCCGAAACGGAGTTCACATTGTCACACATGCCCTCAGGAACAACATTGTCCTTATTCGCAGGGTTGGGGTGCTTCAGACTGTTGCGAAAGAAAAGTAACGAAAAAGCTGTCAGTCGAGTATAATACTGCAGCAGTGAAAACAACTACGTCCAATACAATTACGGCGACTGTGTCCGTGTCAATAACTGTGAGAAAATCCGGTAGAGATTTTGTGCACGAGCTAGAAAACCAGCATGACACCCCTAAACCGAATGAGCTTTGGTCGCTCGTATACGGAGCATTTTCTGATATCACTCTTCTTATATACACCAAAGCTATTCACTATTTGCGGTTGATTTGCAGATGGAAATAGAAAGTCATTGTTGTATTTCAGAGATATACACCCTAGTAACCATGCAGCTTGCAGTAAAAAATGTTTCAAATATGCAAAAATTCTAGTAAATCGCCGGGGGTTATATATTGACCCTTATAAAAAAATGCAAACCTCGTTAAGCCACAATTAGAATTATGGGCAAACGACCATCTGTATTCAGAATAGTATATTCATTTATATATGCAGAGCGAACAAACAGAACAACATACCCAAAGACTGTAGACTTCTCTTCATTCCATGACATATAGTTCATCACGGCCTCAAATGAGTTGCCGAGAAATCCGTGCCATAGCCCTTCGGTTGTGTGCATACCCTCGACTGACGAGCCAATCAAGGCCGTCATTGCTACCACAGATAACTTCATACTGCTTGCAATACTATATGATAAAGTACAACAATCTATGTATGTAGTACTGAATGTGCTTTGGACTTTGTGCGTGAAGTCGATTTATCTTTTTACAAAAGTGAACGGTCACGGACCAGAGATGGGGCTGGAACCAGCTGGCCACCCACGCCGTCACGCGAAAGCTGAGTCTGAGTTTGAGACTCTGAGACGGTTTTAAAAAAAACCCCCTTTTTAAAAAAAGAACAGTGCTCATCGCTCGCGACGTTGTGTAATTCACGTGCGAAGATCGGGTCCGATTATGCGAGTATCATTTTGCCGGTTTTGCCGTGGTGAGTCATTGATGAGTCATAAATGAGTTGTTGATGAATTATTTATAGCTCATTATGCTATCAAATAAACTAAAATGTATTTTTTATTTGTTGGGGATATTTTTTAAATAACAAAACAAAAACAACGAAGTATTTTACAACGCAGATGCCAGTCATGCCACTGTGCCAGATATAATAGCCACATTACGATTGTTCTCTACTACTACTACTAGAGCGTATGTAGTAGTAGACGAAAAAATTTAATAGTTTGTTGTTGACTGTTGGCGTAGCAGAGCGAGTCATTTATTAAATACAGTTTATACTACGTACTACATTAGTACATAGAGACATATTTTTAAAAATTGACATAACACAAGAGATGAAGGTAATCAAGTCATGAAGAGCTGGATGAAGAGAAAAAATAAGTATGTAAATAGACCCTCTCTCTCTGTCTGTCTGTCTCTCTCGCTCTCTTTCGCGCTGTGCACAGTGTGCAGACTGCAGCGAGAGTTCTTCAGATTCTCCTTGGATCTAGAAGGGCATTGGGCTACGGTTTTTTATTCAAAATGTTCAATTTAAGAGGCTGTGTAAAATTCATGAAAAAAAAAATCTCGTTATAATTGTTTTAAAACTCGTTGACAGTTGTGAGTTCATTGAGTGTGTGGCTACTGGCTAGTCTCCACTCTCCACTCTCCACTCTCCACTGTCTCCACTCGCCACTCGCCACTCTCCACTGACCACTCTCCAGTCTTCAGTCTCCACTCTCCACTCTCCAGTTCTCCACTCTCCATTTTAGAAACAGATGAACAGAATGGACAGATCTCTGTTCACAACTACACATATTTTACCGTTTCAATAAATCTCATCCACGTGGTCAAACTTTTTTTGGAAAAAAATAATTCAGATATGGGTTGTGTGAATGTCAACATATGTACATGCAAATATGAAATATCTATCTATTTATCTTCTTTTCGTGGTCACATACTTTGTGAATACCCCTGTCCACTCTCTCACAAACACACACACACATAGACACACACACATAGACACACACACCCACTCTATCTCTCTCTCTAGAGAATGCACAACTTAAAACTTTCCATACTCTCACTTTCCAATATCTTTGCGACTCTTCGTGTGCACT